TGGGATATTATGAGATGTCGTGATGAGGGTGGGATGTCGTGGTAGGGATGCCACAATGGTGTTGGGATGTCATGACGGGGGTGGGATGTCATTGTAAGGGATGGGATGTCGTGATGGGTAGGAATGTCATAGTAGGGATGGGATGTCATGACGGGGATGGGATGTCATGGTGGGATTGGGATGCCATTGTAAGGGATGGGATGTCGTGATGGATTGGAATATCGTCGTGGGTTGGAATGTCATGATAGGGATGGGATGTCACAGAATGTTATGGCAGGGATGGGATGTCATGGTAGGGATGGGATGAAGCAGTGGGGACACATCAGGCAGAGGCCTGCACACAGGCCCACCCCAATTGCATTCCTTATTTTGCAGGTTCTCTACAAAACTGCCTGGAGTGAGAGCGTGGGCAGGGACTGCGCTGCGTTCTGCGCCAAGAAGTGGGTGTGAGCAGGGCTGGATGGGGCTGGGGTGGCAGTGGGGGTCTGAGCAGAGCTGGGTGCTGTGAGCGAGGGTGGGGGTTGGGTTGGGAAAGCAGCTAAAGATGGAGTGAAGGCAAGGTGGGATCTCTTGGCTTCCCCCATGTCTGGAAGAACTCCCCAACCCAGCCATGCCCTTTCCCCAGGTTCGCCGACCACCTGCACAAGTTCCACGAGAACGGGGATGGGGCTGACATGTGGCAGTGACAGCCTGACTGCGCCGCTCCTCCCGCAGCAGGATCCGACCCTTCGCTATCGCTTCGCTTTCTGCTTCGTTGGATGGGGGCAACGCTGCACCTTCAGCCCCTCTTGGGAACCAGTAGCCCCAGTGTGGGGTAAGACCGACCCACGGCACTTTGAGGATGGGTACAACAAGGATGGAGCCGGGGCCATGGGATGCTCAGCACCACCTGAGGGCAGGGCGTTAGGGCTGCTCCCCTGTCAGCCCGTTGGCTTTAGATGATGATATTTGCTCTCTGCCGTTGGGAAATGTGATCCAGGGAGGGGTGGGCTGCTCGCTGGGGCTTTGCTGGGACAGTTCTATTGGCTTTTTTTAGATGTTACGTAGGGTGGCTTGGAACCTCTGCTGCTATTCACACTTGTACTCTTCGTAAATCATTTTGAATAATGTAGAGTTCTGCAGGATGAGTGATTAAATAAACAGCTATGCATTGAGTGAATTGTTTGGGGTTTCCTTTCCGGGATGTTTTGCTCAGATGCATGGATGGATGAGATGATCTCAGTGGTTATTTTCCCACCTCAATGAGTCTGCCACTCTGGATCCAGGGATGGCAGAACCCCATTCCCGCAGCGAGAGGATGGTGCAGGGCTGACCGTGATTTCCCCCATCCTTTTCCCTTCCCTTTCCATCCCAAGCACAGTCTCAGCCCCACTTCTGCTCACCCCCATGCCCGTCCCCATCCCTGAGCAGTGAGGGGCTGTGGCCCTACCCCATCCCCACTGAGCAGCTGATGGACATCCTTACACTGGGGAAAAGAGTGGCAGTTTTTATCCTTTTTGTCCTATTTTGTCCTATTTTTTTGCAGGGTTACCAGGACCCCTCCCTCCGACATCGCCGTCCTTCGGTGCTGCAGCTGCTGGGGGAGGTGGGAGCTTGTTGCTAATTTACTCTGAAAGCCGCTTTGATCCCAGTGCAGCACAAGAGAGAAGGATTTCGGCAGCCCCCTGCTCTCCCTCGCTGCTTTAAATTTGATTATGGGAAACAGTCTTAATTAGTATCGACAGCCATTCAGGGAAATAATTAAAGGAAAACCTGTGCTTTCTGTATCCCTCTAACCTGCACATTGCTCACGCGGACCCTGGTTGCATTTTGGGGGCCGCGGTGGGGGCACAGCTCTTCTCTTGCTGTCACCACAGCAGTGCTGGGTCTCCATAGCCACGAGGCAGCGCCGTGTCCGTGCTCTGCAAATGGAGCGCTGCAATCGATCGCGCTCAGCAGCGCCGGCTGCACGCAATGCAGACACCCACAGCCAGCAGCACCCGCTGCCCCGTGGCACTGCAGCTGGAAATATAGGAACTGGACCAAAAGGGTTAACCTTGGGTGCAGCCCGGCCCCGGGGATCAATAGGTGGTTCTGTCATATGTGGTTATTTTTGGCAGAAGGGCTGTGGTAGTGCAATGTAACCTCGCGGGGAGCAGTGCCTCCGCTGCTGCACGTCCCACGTTGCGCCCACCCAGCACCCCAGGTGTCCCAGCACCCCAATATCGGAGCACCCACACCCCGAGGGAGCCCCCACCCCACCCACACAGGGATTGATTGATTCGCAGAGTTGGAGTGAGCAGAACTGGAGGTGGCAGTGAGGATTGTCGCTCTCACCCGATGGCCCAGAGATGGGGCAACACACGGCCTGGCCCCCGCGTGCCCCCCAGCATTACTGACAGAGCTTCCATTGCATGGAGCTCGGTGTCTTTTCCCACTGCACAGTGCATTGCTTTGTTCCCCCATGTGCCCACTGTGTGGAGTTTTATCCCTATTGCATTAAGGTTTTCCCCACTGCATTGGTACTTTGTTCCCATTGAGTGGAACTTTGTCCCTGTTGCACTGGGGTCTCGTCCCCGCCATGCAGTGCATTGGTGCTTTGTTCCTATTATGTAAAGCTTTGTCTTCGTGCACGGAGCTTTCTCCCCCTTGCAAGGAGCTTTGCCCCTATTGCATTCATGTTTTGTCCTCCGTGTGGTGCACTGGTGCTTCATCCCCATTGAGTGGAGCTTTGTCCCCACTGCATTGAAATTGATCCCTAATGCTTTGCATTCGTGCTTTGCCCCCACCGCGTGATGCTTTGTCTCCATTGCACAGAGCTCTGTCCCCATTGCACAGATGCCACCTCCAAGAATTCATCCTGGGGACGACAGTGCCCAAGGTCAACGTGCTGCTGGGGGGCACACAGAGCAGCAGCCCCACATCCTTGCAGAGCAGCCGGGATCTGGGGCTTTTCGGGTGCTGGTCGCTATGGAAACCCTTCTGCAAGCGCCGGTCCATGCGAGCGCTGTCTGTGCTGCTGTAGGAGCGATGCTGCGAGGTGACACAAGGGGATGGGGCTCTGCAGGTCGTCATACATGGAGGGGTCATGGGGTGCACCCATGGGGGTCTTTTACGGGAAGAAAGGCAACGGTGGTTTGGTGCTGCCCTCTGGATAGCCAGGAGAGGCTCCAGGAGGCCCCAGTGGGATTTCCCTGCACTGCTCCCAGTTTCCCATCGCTGTGGGCTTTGGGGTTTCACAGTTCTCTCTGGGTATCCTCCCCCTCCCCCTTTCACACCAGTGACCGCCCACCCTATGTTCCATTTCAGCCCATTCCCAGACCTGCAGTGGTGACCGACAGCTCCTATCCAGGGATTTGGCCATACCCAACCCACAGGGCCATCTCCAAAGAGGTTGATGGCAAACACCACTTTCTGGCCATGCAGTGCCCCAAAGAACCCTATGGGGCTGCCCCACAGCCCCACCAGGCCGGAGGTGCTCTGTAGGACTGCTGAGCAAAGCCCCATTGGCATCCCCCAGGCTGGAGGAAAACCCTTTGCCCCACAGTTCATGTGGATGAGGCACAGCCCCAGCCCCATAGCTGCCCTGGTTCCATGTCCCCCACATACCCCAAACCTCTCCCAAAATCCCACTGAGTGACGCCCTGTGAGGTAAAAGGACGGTGAGGAAACATAATAAATAACAACAATAACACTAACAAACCTTCCCCTCTCTGCCCCTTACATAACCGGCATTGCCTTAATCCTACAGGTGCTTTGCAGAACTAAAAAGGATTTGTTCCTCCCGCAAATCCCCGTTGCATTTTTTGGTGAGTCATCCTGATCCGCCCGCCAGGGAGGCCCCCTCCGTAATGTGACCCCGCAGTAAATCGCTTAAAGCTCCCCCGGCTCCGGTCCCCCTGCAGCGAGAGGAGGATTATGGCCGTGGCCTGACCCCCTTGGCAGGGACGGCGATGGCCCTATAAATATGTCAGCGGGACAGCGAGGCGAGCGCCGACCCACAGACCTTGACACCTTGACCTGGGGCTGATACTGCTGTATGGCAAAGCCTGGGGCTGGCTGCGCTCCTAGGGGGCTGCTGGCCCCCAATCCCTTCCTCTAAGCAGTGAGAAAATGAGTTTTGGGGTCACATGGGAAGTGTGGAGGTGCTGTCCCTCGGGGTGATGCTGGAGGAGGAAATCGGGGTATGGGATGTGGGGCATCACGTGAGATATAGGGTGGGATATGGAATGTGGGTGTGTGGAAGAGGCAGGGCGCCTTATGTGATGGGAGTGCAGGGTGGGATGGGATGCTTTGGGGTTTGGGATGCTGTGCAGGATGTGGGGTGCCACAAGAGCTGCAGGGTGGGATGTGGAATGTGGGGCTGCTGTAGGATGCAGGGTGCTGTGCGTGATGCTGTGAGGGATGCGGGGTGCACTGTGTGATGTGGGGTGGGATATGGAATATGGGGTGCCTGTAGGTATCCTCTGGGATACAAGGTACCCTGCAGGATGTGGGGTGCCATGCAAGATGCAGGATGGGATATGGAATCATAGGATCACAGAACTGGGGAACATGGGGTGCCTGCAGGATGTGCACTATGCAGGCTACCCTGGGTGGCATGTGGGATATGTGGTGCTCTGTGGGATTTGGGGTACTCTGCAGGATGTGAGGTGCATTTGGGATGCAGGGTGCTGCGCGGGATACAGGGTGCCATGTGGGAGATGGGGCTTTGTGAGATGGGAGATGGGGATGCGGGATGACCCTGCGGGACACAATGGGATTTGGGGTACCCTGAAGGGGTGGGATGTTGTGAAGGATATGGGGGGCCGGGCAGGATGTGGGGAGTCATATGGGGTACCCTGCGGCGTGTGGATGCTCTGTAGGTTACGAGGTGCCATGCAGAATGTGCCCTGCGGACCTGCGGGACGCGGGGTGCCCTGGGGGATGCCGTCTGACCCGGGGACGGCACGGCACGGCACGGCATAGCAGAGCACAGCGCGGAGCAGCGCCGGGCGGGGCCCTTTAAAGCGGGGGGAGGAGCGGGGGGCGGTGGCGGGGCCGGGCTGTGCGGCGGGCAGCCTTGGCCCCGGCGGAGCCGCACCGAGCGCCGGGCCGAGCAGGGCCGTGCCGGGCCGGGTGAGCGCATCCTCCGGTACCGGAGCGCGGCTGCGTGTGGCGGTGCCGGGGGAGGTGGGGGCGGTGCCGGTTTCCCGGGTATCCCCCCCCCCTTTCGCAGCGTTGCGGAGCGCACCCCCGCGTTTCGGTGCGGAGTGGGGGGGGG